GGGCGTGGAGGGGATGGGGTGAAAAGTAGGCGCTGAGAAACGGGAAGGAGGAAGGGGATGGAATGGGAAGGGGGAGAGACGGTGAAGAGGGAGGGAGAAGCGAGGGTAGAGCGAGAGGAGAGGGGAGGAGCAGGAGGGAGGAATGGGTGGGAAAGATGAAGGAGGGGGTGGGAGAAGGGGGTAGAAGCGGGGGGGGTAGAGGGAGAGCCGTGGTGGGGGAGTAGGCAGCAGTGGTGACAGGCCTTTTAAGTAGTGGAAATGCCTGTTTCCGAAGTGCTCATCTGCCTGTCGGTAAACTACTTCTCATTAACACAACGGACCATCACTTGACAAAATTGCTCCTGTGTACCCTTTGAAGTAATAACTGAGCCTGGTTCACGTTCACACCTCACCATCACTGCTGCTTCATTGGCACCTGTGGTGCTCCCCGTGGTCCCAACTCCATGCAGTGGGGCAGACGTGGGTCTAGGAGAAGCAGGTGCGGTGCAGATCTGGGACGGAATGAGGCGGAGGGAAAGGAGGAAAAATGGCAGTGGCTTGTGAGAATGATGTGGGAGACAGTGCCATAAGGGTGCGAACGTGTGGTCCAGGAGACCGTATAAAGGAAGCCGATGCAGAGCTAGGGTGGAGATGTGGGAGAAAGTGCTGTAGGGGCTTATATTTCTCTGTGTATGGGACGCAGGTGCAGAACTGGAACTGGTGGGGGAGGGGGGAGAGGGGGGAGGGAGGGGGGGGGAGGTTGGGGGAGGTGAGAGCGGGAAAGAAGGGTGGAAAAGCGGGGAAAGCGGAGGAGCGGGTAGAGGCAGATATGAAGGAGTCACAAGGCGTTGGTGTAGGACAGGAATCACACATGCGATTCTGGATGGATGGGGAAAGGGGGGTTGCGAATGGGAGTTGGATGGAAAGAGGAAATCAGAGTTTGGGAGGGAGGGGAAGGTAGTTGAGGGAAGATGGCGGAACGGGTCCCACCTTGGCTGCAACCAGCTTCTTAACTCACCTGTCCTGCTGTGACCTCCCTCCAGCCATCTCATCCCCCAGCCCAGCCACTTTCACCCACTTCTCACCGAATCTCAGCAACTCCCACCTTGGTGGCGCCCAGCTGGTCAATGCCACCATTCACTTCACTTATCGCCTGCGCATGACTCAAGAGATTCCTACACGCGACTCCTCGTCCCGAACCGACTCTCGCCTTGGCGAGATCCAGCTTGTCAACCGCCCCCGGGCCCCGTCCACCCATCGTTAACATTCCAGGCATCCCCTATGGCCTCCGCCCGCCCCAGCAGCACTCCCCATCCTCCTCCCCTTCACCCCGCCTTCACTCCCCTTCCACCTCCCTTCACTGCTCTCTCGAGTGAACCTCACACACGCCCCTAACCCACAGATTCCGCACACCGACTCTCACATACATACCCACCCATGACCGACTCTCACCTTCGTCATCCATCCGAAGCCACAAGAGCAGTAGATATGCCGAAGTGGCATGTGTGAGCAACCATGCGAAGCTCGGGACCTGGATCTTACTTCACTTCTCATTGTGTGCTTTCGACCTCAACTATATAGACCTGTGGGGAGGTGGGAGCAGAGGCGCGGGGATTGAGGACAACATGAGCGGAAAAAGGGGGGGGGGGGGGGGGGGGGGGTTGGAGGGTGACGTGGGGGAAGGGGGAAGAGGCAAAATGGGAGAGAGAAGATGGAGCATTAAATAGGGACAGGGGGAGGTCAGGAAACCAATAGCAGCGGTAGTAACTGTTGCAACACGTGAATGGCACAATGACGCCTCAACAAGCTGTGCCACGTGGCATGCGACAACTGAATCTCCTTTATCCCTCCAATCTTCCCCGCACCATCATCCCTTCGCCTTTTACTTTATGCATCATGAAATGTCCCATTAACCATATCTGTCACGTCAGTAATCTAAGCACCGGACTAAGCGTCTTGCTGCTGTGACGCCATGCGTTGAATGCTCAGTGAAACACAGAAAGCGCAGCTTACCATCAGCAATTCTCCGTCCTTCCAACCCCTCCAACGAAATCCACCGCATCTTCGACGCCCCAACAAAAAAGCCTGAACAGGTCGAGGCGGCCTCGGTGCATACCGCCTGTGCATGCGGCCAAGTCGCCATCCTATATCAGAAATCCCGCGAATGGGTGTCGCGATTTGCCTGAGCAGGCAACAGGGACCGCCGAAGGAAGGCTGCATCACTTGTGCGGCGTCGCACTAGCATCACCAGCCGCAGCAACAGCAGCAGCTGCGCGCCGTCGCGGCGCGAGGCGAGAGCGAGCAGCAGCATTCGCAGCAGCAGCGGCGGAAGCTGCGCGCCGAGCAAGGCGGGAGTGCGCGATGTGGGGAGAGTGATAGTTGTCTCGAATGGACTCGAGTCTGATAATGCCGCAACCTAGCAGCGGCTGGCGACACGGGCAGGAGGACGTGTCGTTGCTGTAGCTGCTACTTGAAAATAATGTCTGTTTGTGGCTGCAGGGGCTATTGATGGGACTAATAGTGGATTGAGTTGACGTCGACGAAGACGCTGGCGACGATTCCGCCAACGCGACGATGGAGCGGACGGAAAAGCGGGTACGGTTCCATAGACAGCTCGTAGAAACCGCCATGTATTTTTCATGCTTGAGGGAGTGGACTCGTGAACTGAGAAGCTATGCACGGAAGGTTCAAAAATAGGGTTGGAGAGCTGTGATGATTATAGAACAGAGATTGATATGACGAAATGTGTGATTGATACACGTTCACAACCTAGCTTAGCGAGATTCGTGGTGGCGAGGTTTGGGCAACGGCGAAAACGAAAGGTTCGGAATCGATTCGACTCAGCTTCGGTTTCGTCAACTCGGCCGAGCCTGATCCCCGTCATGTTCGGGGCTTCGTCCGATACCTAAAATGACGCCACCAAACCAAAATCAAACCGAACGCACAGACAGAAGTTTACGCACACCAAACCAAACGCCTTCCCAGGAACCAAAATGCCAGCCAAGCTTGGCGTGACAGACGTACACATTTTGCTTCGGCACGGCAAAGCCGGAGTAGCTGCTAGTTTTTCGCGAATCGGAACCTCGTACCCTTCGGTAAGTCGCACAATGCGGCAGCGACATGAACATACTCAGTAACCCTATAATGTTTGCTTCCACGAGGCAGAACGACGCTCGATCAGAAAGCTTACTAGAATCCATTCGCTGATGTCCGATCTTTTCGCGTTCGAGGCTTCTAGGCTCTGCTGTGCGTTTTGTCCATTTTTTTGGCGCCTACGAATTGGTCGCTGTGCTTCGCTGTCGGTTCTGCCAGGTTCGGTCGTCGTGATGGGTGCTTTGAGCTGTAGGCTCGGCGCGCTTATGCTCTCCATGCAGTCCGCAGTGTGACTATTGACCCCTCCCAAGGTCCGTTATTGCTTTCATGTTGCCTGGCTGAATGTGGTGATGTGTCGCCATCATCTTGCTGTCGTTCGCCTTGTCTCGCCACCATTTTCGAGTTGTCACGGCCATTTCGATATGTCACGCTCATTCCGAAAGCCACGCCCCCGTTTCACCATGTCGCGCCGCCATCCGCTCAGGCGACGGTGAGTCGCACTTGCACCGCTTGCATTTTCTTGAGAATGCGCTCCCTGCATGCTCTCCGCGCTTTCGCCTAGAAGTACGAGCGGTGTTACTAGCATTACAGGCCGCGCGCGCGTCTAGTGCTAAGGCGCGACTGGGGGCCGTGGCTTCACGCGGTCAGCCGGCTGTAGGCTCCTTGAGTCACCGAGACCTGATGGCGTGGCATATGGCGGGGCCAAACCCGTGGTTTAGTTTGGCTCCTGGACGCAAAAGCGGATGATCGTAGTAGCGCGGCTCGGCTGCGTGCTTGCCATGTCCTGCTGTGGTGGCAGTTGGTACGGCGAGCACAGCGGCGTTTCACGCGTAGCGGCGTAGCTGAAGCTGAGGTGGGCGGGCGTTCCCAGTGGCATGACAGCGAGCGCGAGAGAGCTCATTCCCCCACGCAAGGCGCACTGCGGACCTGACAGCACGCGATGCCTAGGGGGGCTGCGTCGGTGGGAGAGCTAAGTGCCGTGAGGCTGCCTTTACGACGTGCCGCGTATGTGCTTGTACCTTGTCGCTTGGGGAGCGCATCGTTGCTTTGTGCATCTTCGCGCTGTGTATCGTTGCGCTGTGTATCGTTGCGCTGTGTATCGTTGCGCAGTGTATCATTGCGCAGTGTATTGTTGCGCAGTGTATCGTCGCTCAGTGCGACTGAGTCAACCCCCCTATGGACACCCCCTCAACTGTCGAACTGTCCTTGTCATTGAATACAAGTGGTACAGCAAAGTCGATGGTAAAGAAGCAAGGTAAGAACGCATAAGCCAACCTAAGCAAAGAATAAAGCCCTGACAGGTATGTGTTACGAGGGGGGAAGGAAATGAAAAGGAGGTGGGGGGAATGGGGGTGGTGTCATGGGGAGTGGGGGTGCTCGCTCTCTCCTGCATCCTAGCGCTCTCCCTCTGCCTCGCTTCTGCCTTCCCCTCCCCTCTCCCGGTTTCATTAACTCCCCTCCCCCTTCCCTATCGTTCCCCCCTGCCGCTCTTACCAAGCGTAGACCCATCTCCTGCCCCGCCATGCTCCCACTGCTGCTGCTCACCTGCTTCTGCTCGCGCTGCATGCTGGTGGCGGGGTGGCGAATACAGGTGGCAGGCTGTGAGTGCGCCCGAGCGGGTGGTGAGGCAGCATGGAGTGGTATGGGAATGGGGTGGTATGGGGTGATGCAACGGAATGGGAAGGTATGGGGCGGTGGGGCGGCGGCATGCAGGGGTGGTGTGAGATTTTCCATGCGAAGATTCGCCAATGCCACTGTGACTCTCTTTCACCGCGTTCCTCAGAAGCGCTCTAGCCGTTTCGCATGTTGTGCAACGGTCAATCCCTCTCCTGAACGCACAACTCACCCTTAACATCCTTGTTCCACCTCTCACTGCCCCCTCTTTGCCTCTCCATGCCCCCTCTTTGCCTCTCCATGCCCCCCTTCCTATGCTACTACCCTGTTATCACCCCGCCTTCCCTCCTTTCCCTCCCTTTCCTCCCTCCACTCCCTCTTCTCATCCCCTCTCCCAACAACCCTCACTCATCTGTCACACAACCCCATCACAAAAATCCAGCGTCCAGAAAGCCAATGAAAAGAGGCTCGTTGGAGCTTTTTCAAATGATTTAGAAACGTAGGGTTTCAAACGCTTTTCTGAGAAAGTATAGGTCGTTTTCCAAATGCGTTGTCGAATGCTTTTCAAATGGTACTCGAATGCTTCTCTGTCCAAAACTGCATCTTGAATACCTTCGACTGACGTTTGGTATGAGTTTTTGCGAAGTGATTTTGGAGACTAGATCTGATTGCATTGTACTCTTCAGTGAGTTTGATGTTGACTTCATACTACTAATTATTGGACATTCCACAAACGTTATTAATATTTTTAAGAGGGCCTCTTCCGGTCCCTGCGTGCCCCCATGCCCCTCCCCATGTGGATTCCCTCCCCCCACACTCCACCGTGCCCGCTGACCTCCGTGAGCCCGCGGCTGCACCCCCTGCGTCCAACCCTCTCCGGCCTTCGCTGGCAGTCAAGCTGTTCCGCAGGCGCTGGCGGCATGGGGGCAGCTTGGGGGCGGCTGGCAGGCGTGGTCGGGCAGCAGTGACTGCTCAACCGTGCAGGGCGTCACGTGCGACGCTCATGGCAAGGCAACGTTGTCTCCCTGGTACGTGAGGCATGTGAGTGCTGCTCCAGCGCATGTGAGTGCTGCTCCAGCGCATGTGAGTGCTGCTCCAGCGCATGTGAGTGCTGCTCCAGGGCATGTGAGTGCTACTCCAGCGCATGTGAATGCTGCTCCAGCGCATGTGAATGCTGCTCCAGCGCATGTGAGTGCTGCTCCAGCGCATGTGAGTGCTGCTCCAGCGCATGTGAGTGCTGCTCCAGCGCATGTGAGTGCTGCTCCAGCGCATGTGAGTGCTGCTCCAGCGCATGTGAGTGCTGCTCCAGCGCATGTGAGTGCTGCTCCAGCGCATGTGAGTGCTGCTCCAGCGCATGTGAGTGCTGCTCCAGCGCATGTGAGTGCTGCTCCAGCGCATGTGAGTGCTGCTCCAGCGCATGTGAGTGCTGCTCCAGCGCATGTGAGTGCTGCTCCAGCGCATGTGAGTGCTGCTCCAGCGCATGTGAGTGCTACTCCAGCGCATGTGAGTGCTGCTCCAACGCATGTGAGTGCTGCTCCAGCGCATGTGAGTGCTGCTCCAGCGCATGTGAGTGCTGCTCCAGCGCATGTGAGTGCTGCTCCAGCGCATGTGAGTGCTGCTCCAGCGCATGTGAGTGCTGCTCCAGCGCATGTGAGTGCTACTCCAGCGTATGTGAGTGCTGCTCCAGCGCATGTGAGTGCTGCTCCAGCGCATGTGAGTGCTACTCCAGCGCATGTGAATGCTGCTCCAGCGCATGTGAGTGCTGCTCCAGCACATGTGAGTGCTGCTCCAACGCATGTGAATGCTGCTCCAGCGAATGTGAGTGCTGCTCCAGCGCATGTGCGTGCGTGCAGTGCGGCAGATGGGACGCACCATCAACGTCTCAGCCATCCCTCTCCTCACCTCAGTACATTGCCCCATCTGTAGTCCTTCCACGTCTCCCCTCCCTCTCCCTCTCCTAATCGTTCATTTTCCTTGCCCCAACCTTATACGTCCAACCCCATCCAACCCCATTTCGTGTATCCCATCGATCCCCATGTTTCTACATGTGTGCGCCACACATGCAGCAAGCCGAGAGTGAATCATCTGAACATCTCCAAATGACATGAGCAACCTCCTTCAGTGTCACCTACCTGTCAGTACCACCCTTACCCCTCCTACCTAGTCCATCCCACAACTCCTTGGCTCTGTCCCTGTTTCATTGCATGAGTTTGCGTCACATGCCAGGTAGTCCCATGCTCTCTCCCTTTCTCGGATCCCTTCTTGACCATCTCTCCTCTGGAGGAACCGGCTGAGTTGATCAGCTTGTTGACCAACCTGATGTGAGTGATCTGCGCAGAACTGGCTGAGCTGATCCGTGCCTGAGTCCCTTATCTGTCGCACCTCAACCAACTCGCCACACTGTAATATATCCACTGCACTGAGAGATCTGGGCAGGCTCAATTGCTGAGGGGTGTCACTGGGTCGAAGAGCATCACAAAAATCATATGACCAGAAACCTATTGTAAAAAGTTGTGGTGAAGTATTTTCAAATGCTTTTAAAACGTAGGGGCCAAAACGCTTTTCGGTGAAAGTATAAACATTTTTTCGAATGCTTTGTCGAATGCTTTGCAGGTGATGACATGTTTGTATTACCTTCAGATTAGGGTCTGTCTGAGTTTCTTCGGAGATGTATAAGACTTCGTTCGGAGAGTTCAGGGAGATTACTTTCCACTCATATACTCTTTAGCAGAGCTTAGGACCAAAGTTCAAGAAGATTGTATATGAACCTTTATCAAGTGATTCTCGTTGTTTGATGGAAGGTCTATTAGCCATTCTTAGGTGTACACGCACATCATGAATGCATTGCTCAATGATTATTAATCTCATTACAGAGTTGGCTTGGCACACAAAACAGCTGCCTAAACACGCGTTGCGTAGTCCTGCTAGGGTGGATTAATCTGCACCATCCTCCTACCTACTTCGCAAGCCATCATCGGATGCAGCCCCGCCCCATCTCTCCAGCTCTTGGCCTAGAGAGTTCTTGACTACAGATACTGCTCCATCTAATGCTAACCTGCACGGCTACACACTTCCTGTCTCCTCTCTTGCTTATACTCCTGTCCCCTTGCTGTCTCCACGCTGCTGCCCCCTATGCGGTCTCCTCTCATGCCTGCTCCTGCTGCTCCACATTGGGCCTCTCCTGGAACTCCCCTCTTACCTCCCGGCCTCCCCCCCCTGATGCTACTCATGCTGCCTCCACTGCTCCTCCACTACTGCCTCACATGCTGCCTCCACTGCTCCTCCGCCACCCAGGCAACCTGCAAAACGGTCGCATATTAAATATGCACTCCTCCCCTACTGCCACGGGATGTTGCCTCCCCCCCTGCTGCCATTCAATGTTGCCTCCCAAGCTGCCTCCCTTTGTTGTCTCCCCTGCTGCCATTCTAGTTGCCTCCCATGCTGCCTCTCTCTGTTGCCTACCCTGCTGCTGTTCAATGTTGCCTCCCCTACCGCCTCCCTTTGTTGCCTCCCCTGCCCCTTTGTTGCCTCCCCTGCTGCCATTCTATGTTGCCTCCCATGCTGCCTCTCTCTGTTGTCTCGCCTGCTGCCATTCTATGTTGCCTCCCCTACTCCCTCTCTCTGTTGCCTACCCTGCTGCTATTTAATGTTGCCTCCCCTGCTGCCTCCCTTTGTTGCCTCCCCTGCTGCCATTCTATGTTGCCTCCCATTCTGCCTCTCTGTTGCCTCCCCTGCTGTCATTCTATGTTGCCTTCCCTGCTCCCTCTCCCTGTTGCCTCCCGTGGTGCCTTTCTCTGTTGCCTCCCCTGCTGTCATTCTATGTTGCCTTCCCTGCTCCCTCTCCCTGTTGCCTCCCGTGGTGCCTTTCTATGTTGCCTCCCCTGCTGCCTTTCCTTGTTGACTCTCGGCTTCTTACCCTTGTTGCCTATCCTGATGCCTTTCCTTTATCCATACCCGTTAAACGCCCCTGCTCTCCCCGTTAACCGATACCCTCCTGCCTCACCCGATGCCTCTCCAACTTCCTCCACTGCCACCCGTCCTGCTTGCCCCCTTGTCTGCCTGCACATCACTTTCCCCTCCTGCCACCCATGTTTTTGCCTCTCTTGTGCCTTCTGCTCCCTCTCAACTCCTTCCCCCCCTGCTCATCATCCTCCTCTTCCTCTTCCTCCTCTTCATCCTCCTCCTCATCCTCCTCATCCTCATCCTCCTCCTCCTCTTCCTCCTCTTCCTCCTCTTGCTCCTCCTCCTCTTGCTCCTCCTCCTCCTCCTCCTTCTCACTGAAATCCTCTTGCTCCTCCTCCTCCTCCTCCTCCTCCTCCTCCTCCTCCTCGTTATCAGCCTGAGCCGTCCCCCGGAACGCCTGAAACCCGGACTCATGTACATAGAGCCCACGCGTGCCCCACTTGAAGCCCTGCAACTCTGCGTTGTACACGGGGGTGTGGCGTGTAAAGTGATCCCTTACAATCCTCCGCACCCCCCGAGTCAAACTCCTCATCCATCTAGTGTTTTTCCTGTGGGAGTTCGGCAGGTTCATGTCGGTCTCCTTGAAGCGCGCCAAGCCTTGATCAATCTGAAACGGGTTTGGATTACAGGGACCAGCAGCAAGGCAGAGTTGCATGTTACCGGTGTTAGCCCCCAAGGGTCCCAAGTCGTTCACGTGCAATAGAAAAGATTGAGCATTAGGGCAAGTACATGTGATTTACAAAACCAGTCTCACCACCATGAGTGACCAGGCTATGTGGTACGTCTTTAGGGCCAGCCTGCGCCCAACAGCGTAATCCCGAAATGATGCCTTCACCGCATCCACAAACCAGGCGTTGGCAAAAGGGAGCCCGGATCTGTCGTTCCCCCACGAGCTGACCCGCTCATTCCCTCCTACAAGGAGGCACAACCATGTGGGGAAGCACGGGGTATGTTTTATCATCAAGTAGTGGGGCAGGCAGTGTTTGGAGGTATGTTTGGGCATCGTAAGAAGGGGCAGGCCGGGCAGAGGGGTTTGGGTGAGGATCCTGGGGTGGGGCAGGCAGGGCAGAGGGGTTCGGGTTTAGGATCCTGAGGTGGGGCAGGCAGGGCAGAGGGGTTTGGGTGAGGATCCTGAGGTGGGGCAGGCAGGGCAGAGGGGTTTGGGTTTAGGATCCTGAGGTGGGGCAGGCAGGGAAGAGGGGTTTGGGTGAGGATCCTGAGGTGGGGCAGGCAGGGCAGAGGGGTTTGGGTGAGGATCCTGAGGTGGGGCAGGCAGGGCAGAGGGGTTTGGGTGAGGATCCTGAGGTGGGGCAGGCAGGGCAGAGGGGTTTGGGTGAGGATCCTGAGGTGGGGCAGGCAGGGCAGAGGGGTTTGGGTTTAGGATCCTGAGGTGGGGCAGGCAGGGCAGAGGGGTTTGGGTGAGGATCCTGAGGTGGGGCAGGCAGGGCAGAGGGGTTTGGGCGAGGAACCTGAGGTGGGGCAGGCAGGGCAGAGGGGTTTGGGTGAGGATCCTGAGGTGGGGCAGGCAGGGCAGAGGGGTTTGGGTTTAGGGTCCTGAGGTGGGGCAGGCAGGGCAGAGCGGTTTGGGTGAGGATCCTGAGGTGGGGCAGGCAGGGCAGAGGGGTTTGGGTTTAGGGTCCTGAGGTGGGGCAGGCAGGGCAGAGGGGTTTGGGTGAGGATCCTGAGGTGGGGCAGGCAGGGCAGAGGGGTTTGGGTTTAGGGTCCTGAGGTGGGGCAGGCAGGGCAGAGGGGTTTGGGTGAGGATCCTGAGGTGGGGCAGGCAGGGCAGAGGGGTTTGGGTTTAGGATCCTGAGGTGGGGCAGGCAGGGCAGATGGGTTTGGGTGAGGATCCTGAGGTGGGGCAGGCAGGGCAGAGGGGTTTGGGTTTAGGATCCTGAGGTGGGGCAGGCAGGGCAGAGGGGTTTGTGTTTAGGATCCTGAGGTGGGGCAGGCAGGGCAGAGGGGTTTGGGTGAGGATCCTGAGGTGGGGCAGGCAGGGCAGAGGGGTTTGGGTTTAGGGTCCTGAGGTGGGGCAGGCAGGGCAGAGGGGTTTGGGTGAGGATCCTGAGGTGGGGCAGGCAGGGCAGAGGGGTTTGGGTTTAGGATCCTGAGGTGGGGCAGGCAGGGCAGAGGGGTTTGGGTGAGGATCCTGAGGTGGGGCAGGCAGGGCAGAGGGGTTTGGGTGAGGATCCTGAGGTGGGGCAGGCAGGGCAGAGGGGTTTGTGTTTAGGATCCTGAGGTGGGGCAGGCAGGGCAGAGGGGTTTGGGTGAGGATCCTGAGGTGGGGCAGGCAGGGCAGAGGGGTTTGGGTTTAGGATCCTGAGGTGGGGCAGGCAGGGCAGAGGGGCTGGGGGTTAGGGTCCAAGTAGTGGGGCAGGCAGGACAGAGGGGTTTGGGTGAGGATCCTGAGGTGGGGCAGGCAGGACAGAGGGGTTTGGGTTTAGGGTCCTGAGGTGGGGCAGGCAGGGCAGAGGGGTTTGGGTGAGGATCCTGAGGTGGGGCAGGCAGGGCAGAGGGGTTTGGGTTTAGGATCCTGAGGTGGGGCAGGCAGGGCAGAGGGGTTTGGGTTTAGGATCCTGAGGTGGGGCAGGCAGGGCAGAGGGGTTTGGGTGAGGATCCTGAGGTGGGGCAGGCAGGGCAGAGGGGTTTGAGTGAGGATCCTGAGGTGGGGCAGGCAGGGCAGAGGGGTTTGAGTGAGGATCCTGAGGTGGGGCAGGCAGGGCAGAGGGGTTGGGGTTTAGGATCCTGAGGTGGGGCAGGCAGGGCAGAGGGGTTTGAGTGAGGATCCTGAGGTGGGGCAGGCAGGGCAGAGGGGTTTGGGTGAGGATCCTGAGGTGGGGCAGGCAGGGCAGAGGGGTTTGGGTTTAGGATCCTGAGGTGGGGCAGGCAGGGCAGAGGGGTTTGAGTGAGGATCCTGAGGTGGGGCAGGCAGGGCAGAGGGGTTTGGGTGAGGATCCTGAGGTGGGGCAGGCAGGGCAGAAGAGTTTGGGTTTACGAT